TTATGGTAAAATGGGCCAAGGATTTTGGTTATTATATTCAAATGGATCAATGTGAGAAAATGTGGTTAAAAGTTCTGAAATTCACATTGTTTTACAATTTAAAACAAAACTTTTAAAAAACCAATGGTATATGGTATGTGTCTAAGATGTATAAAGACACTTCTAATCACTGTTGGAAAAGTGAAAAACATGAAGGGACATTTTATCATGCATGGTGAACTTGTGAAAAAGCAAAAAAATAATGCAAACAAATACATATGGCGACGCATTGAGTTTTAAAAATTAACATTCAGATGAAACTGGAACTTTTCTTATTAGGACCTATGGAAACTCAACTAGAAAAGGCTCATGGATTATTGGTTTTATAGATGGTAACTGCAGCAGAGCTATTATATGCACAAAGATGGAAGACTATAGAAACACCAGTAATAGAGGAATGGATTGTGAAGATGGCTGAGTTTGCAGAAATGGCTAGATTGACCTGTTTGGTCAAGGAGGGAACTACAATTACTTTTTATAAAAGACTGGAAACCCTTCATAGATTTTTGCTGAAAATGGATAAAAATGAACTGCTGATTTGTTTATGGAAAGAAGGGAATTATGATATGCAATGTGGGAGAATGGAAATGGTAATTACTATGTTTGTAAATGTGGCAAAGAAGATCAGAAGTCGCCTCTTTAGATATCTTTCTTTTTCTTTCCTTTTTCTTATTCCTCACTTTTTCTTTTACCTTTTTATAATTTTTTTCTTTTTTCTATTTCTTCTTCTATGTTTTTGTAGTTTTTTAAATCTTTGTAAAATCTTCTTATAATAAAAATTATTTAAAAGAGAAATAAGGCAGCAAAACTTCATGAAGAAGGGATTTTAAGGCAGGATTGGATAAGGAGCCAAAGGAATGGCTTTAAAGCAAATAGCTTGTTATGATAAAATAGATCTAGCATGTAGATCAGACTCTTACAGATTGCATTATTATATTAATGACATAATATAATGCAGGTTGCTTGTTTTAATTTAAGCTACAATAAAGGTTACCACAAAGATTTCCATTGATGTGTATTCCATAAATGGGGAGCACCATCAAAGACCTGTTGCCAAAATGGCTATCAATCCAACAAGCAAGGAGAGGAGATTTAATCCTTTCCTACCTGGCCTCTTCCTTTCCCACACAGTACAGCAATGGGCTATCCTGGTTGTGAATTCTGGGAGTCCTAATGCATCCCATCTGAAGTTGCTCCACTTGGGGAATAAGCCCACTGAACTGAATAGGATGACTCTGAACAGATTTGTATAAGGTTGCACTGATATGCACACTCATTCTTGTTAGTGGCAACTTTATACATATCATATCACCCTCTGTCTTATGTGTTTCATGTCACAATAAATCCAGCAGAACATAATTTTAGTACTAGTTGCGAGAGTTACTATACCAACTAAACTGCATTTTACTTTAGATTAATGCTGCTTAAAAGTGAGGAAAACAGTAAAAGTGGTGAAAAAATAAAACAGTTGCAAAGAATCTTGAAGACGCCTTTGATAGATAGATAGATAGATAGATAGATAGATAGATAGATAGATAGATAGATAGAGTAGATGACAGAGAGATAGACAAGATAGATGAGATATTTTTTCTTTGTGTTATTTATAATCTGCGTGTTATTTATAATTTTATCTTACTGATATATGGGAGGAATCATTCTGTCCTTCTGTCATGGAATTAAACCTAGACAGTTAAAATATGAATACATCTTATTATTTTATAATGAATTGTCCTTCATTTCTTTGGAGACAAATTCATTTATAATTTTTATAAATGTTTCATTTATAAAACATTCCAGAAAATAAGAAAATATATTATCCATAGCACAAACTATGTGACTCTAAAGCAATTTTCCCTAGTCCATCCCAACCTGATGCCGTCTAGTTTTCTTAAATTTCTTTCTCAAGCTTCAAACCAGGCTAGCCAATAATAAAGCAATGGTTTAAGAACAATAATATTACTTACTGATAAACACTGCCACTGAGGTGAATTTTGTTTGGTACTCCATGGCTCTCCATCCGGGATGCTATATTCACTGTATCTCCAAACAAGCAGTAACGTGGCATTTTTTCACCAACAACCCCTGCAAGGACAGACCCTGTGTGGATCCCAACCCTAATCTGAACAAGGGTTCAAAATAATAAAAAATAAATAACTTTACGCTGAATCCAATTGCTCTTTTTTTTTAACATATACTTATCAAATAGTGATAAATTATAATCTAGAGCTCCTGGAGGTGAAGTCCATTAAAAAAATACCACAGTACTGTTCTTAGTCTGGTCAGCAAGCTGAGCCTATACAGTTGCAGATGTTGCCTAACATAATCAGCAATCATATATATGGAAAGAGAACTTTCTCTCACTTCCAAAGGATTTGTGGATCACTTTAGGATAAAGATGTTGTGGGAGGACAGCCATGTTAATCTATGGTAGTCAAAAATCAAGAGGAATCCAGTAGTACCTTTTCAGTCTGAGTTTTTTTAAAAAATCCACCTTTCTATTTTGGCCTTCATCAGCCACTAAGTCTTAATATTGTTTTTTAATTGATCATAGGGCTATGCAAATCCTTCAGATAAGTGCTTTGAAACATACAGAGGTGTAACATGCATGCAGAAACAGCCAGGAGCAGCTTCCAAAACAGCCACATGGGTCTGGAAAAGGATACAGCTGCTTTAATGATGCAAAAAAGAGGTGCTTGGTATTTTGTACATCCTCCTGGGCATTCTACCTCTTTCAAAGCATTTGCATAGCCCGGAAGGTTTATTTTTATTCTGGATTTTATTCCAGCCCTTTTCCTGGTTTTTAATCCTGTCTTTTATTCTGATTTTTAATCTGCTTTTATTTTTAAACAGTTTAGGACCTAGAATTTGGGAAGGAAAGTCCTGAGTACTATAGAAATAAAATAAA